TTTATATATATATATATATATATATATATATATATATATATATATATATATATATATATATATATATATATATATATATATATATAATGTATACGCGTGATATTTGTAAAATTTCGACTTTTCAGTTTAAATTTCCAAATGTTTGGGTGGATAAAAAGTTAACCCTTTGCCGGTTTAATCCGGGGGTTTTCTTTTTATTATATAAAATAAATAGATAAGATTTTGCCGTTGTCTGTTCAGTTATAGATACACAGTGAGTATATGACATCATAATGTGGGAAGAACAAAAAAGTGACCCACTCGGATCTTCTCGGTGAGACAAATTTCATTTATATACTGGATAATTCTATCAGCGTTCTCTTATGTGCAGAGGTCCAGTAAGGGACATCACTTATAATGATTTATAATACCTAAACTAACTTAAGCCAGCCGTTAGTACTGATGTTAATACTAAATCATGGATGTAACTAAAGCTCTTTCAATGCTAAATTGCTGTTCTATAGCCGATATTGGTTCAGTGTTATACCACAGTAGAAAAACAAATTATTATAGTTCCTTGTTTATTGCACGCCGGAAATCATGTAAAAAACATCTAAAAGAACTTGTGAAAATGTAAAATAAGTTACTGCATGCATGGATGTATAACTTTTCTATTGCTCGATTTAAATTAAATAAAATATAATTATTGTATTACAAGCGAAAACTGCATGCAAGCACAATTCATATAGCTACGTTTGTCGTTGCTGATGCAAATCAATTTATAACTTTTGATTTTCACTTGAAAAATAAAGTGACTCACATTCAACATCAGTTTAGCCAGAATTAAATTGTTTGTTCGCAAGTAGGTAAAGAAAAAATATTCTTTTAAATAAAAAACATGAAAATATACTTCGACCATGCACACTACGTGGCATTTTACTGCAAATATAAAAATTTAATTAACGAATAAACTGTAGCCAAAAGCGTGGTTATATGTTGTTGTGTGTTAATAAATATTAACTACAATTCTCATCCGCCCATAACAAAAATGTTTTGTTATAGAACAACATCCTGTATCTGAGATCCCCTGTTCAACATCCTTCGGCGGTTTGAACACAAAGGATTTTAGACTCTTTTCTCGTTGCATGAACGTAAACGGATGTTGAACTTATTCACAATGGTCTAAGCTTCTGCTGAACAGAATGTATATAAGCGGCATTCCCTTGCTGACTTGCATACATCTTTCAGTGGGACTCGACCATAAAGTATATGCTAAGAAGAATAAACGAATTAAGGTGAGTATACTGACGTTATATATCATGCACAATCGTATGGAAAAGGACTATATAGAAAAATATAGGAATCAAATTAAATGCCGCGCTATATAGATATGTACTAAAATGCAGGATGAGCATCATGCAGTAACATATAAATGCTATGAAATGGCCAAGTGCGTCCATGCATGCAATATGCATTACATCGATCAGTGATTATGTTTTGCAATCAGCGACTGAAGCAGGTTGGAAAAGACTTATTCTTATTCTAATGGGGTTTTTTCCACTTGTCGGTCTTGATGAATTGGGCTATGTATAATTCAATTCCAATTATATACTTACTGTACGCGATTTTTTGTTTTACAATTATTCATGCGAAAGACATTTTTCCTGCGTATTTGGGCAACGTATATATAGCAGCTCCACAATGTCATGTTATTTTTCTCAACATTGCATGCAGGGCACAGAAAATGTATAACAAGTCACTATAAACAGGGTCTAAAAAGTTCTTTGTTGTCTTGTGATCGCATGTATTCAGTATACTCGACGTCCCCAATATAGAGAGCATCAAAAACTCAAGCAATTTTTTTTTTCGGCCTATATATTTACTGTATCATATACAATATGTGATATAACCTGTTCTATATATTTTATATATTTTCGTTTTTCTGTTGCAGAATGAATCGTCTTGCTTTGTTTTGTCTCCTACTCAATGTTTCGGGTGTGTTAATGGTAAGAAACTGAATTATAGTTTTCTGCATGTTTACAATCAAGTTGTCAAATGAAAAGAAAAATATCGAAATGTATACGTGTAGATGGCAATCAAATCGATGCAGTGACAGTATATTTAATGTTTTTATTCATTTACAAAATTTTGTTCTCTTGAAAATCTCGCATTTCATGTATGAATTCAATGCACTTTAAAGTACGCACACCACGAGCTTAAAGTTACCAAACTAGGCCTATATATGCTAGCCCGCGTTATAGGAATGGGTGCATGGTAGGTATATATAAATAGCATGGCTTGCGAGTTTGTTGAGGGTTTTTTTTGGGGTTTTTTTATCCGTCAGAATGAAGCAATCTGATTGGCTGAGGAGCCTTTCAGAGCGGGCCGGTTTTTTGCATCCGGCCCGCTCTAGCTGACACGCAACTGCCCGCTGTGAAATGCAACTGCCCACTCTGATTTTCTCGGCAAAATATGAGGAGTGAAACAATTTTTAAACGAAAAAAACTGCCCAAAACGTTTGCAAAACGTAGCCTAACGATAGTCAGATACGAAATGAATTGCATCAAGCCATAAAGACTTCATACTAAGCACGATGTTACAGTATTTTGAGAAAAAAGTCGGAAAATTATTTGAAATGTATAAAACTTTCGAGAAAACTATATATCTTTTAAATGCTCATGTATATTCGGCCACTTAAAAGGAAAAAATTACAGCTTAAACGAATATTGTAAAATAAATGTTTTCCCATTTAAAAGAAGTTTTAACTGCAGCAGTGAAAACAAGTCACGAATATATTTTCTAGACTCTACCCGTTTGTGTCAGGCATTTTTCACTGATATAAGTAGTAAACAAAGACAAAGTAATTAAAAGTCTGTGTTTAAAAACACTTTTTTCAAGCATATTATCGTGACACGACCAGAAAAAATACAAAAATATAAAAGGTGTATACCTTATTCATTGTCCTTTAAATTTGGTAGAAAAACGTTGGTTAAATCAAAACAGATTCATTTTTATGTGTTTTTGGTTGGATCTGAACATGAACCTGTCGTTGTATAAAGAAGCAACTGAATTTGTCAAAGCCAAAACGCCAGGCTAAAAACGTCTTATTCCAAAGCTTTTTTGCTACCATATATTCATGAGAAAAAAACATGTAAATTTACTGAAACTGCTTTTTGTGTGTTTCTTGCCGGTTTTCTCGAGTTTTCGTACTCGATCGTATTTTATATCTTTCAACATTTCAATTTGTGTCAGCCTCGCTTTAAAAATACACATGAACTGCACTGATCTCAAATTAGTTCGCAAGCAACATTGGAATTCTAATGAATTTCAGTTTTACATCTGATAAAAAATAAACACGTTATTTACCGGCAGCGTCAGTCCGGATGAGAAAAACTGTGCCCTCGGTCTTGAAAACGTCCCTCAACCTTCGGGCTCAGGCCGTTTTCAAGGCCTCGGGCACAGTTTTTCTCATCCGGACTTCGCACCCGGTAACTTCGCACCCGGTTTCTCATCCGGACTTCGCACCCGGATATATATATATATATATATATATATATATATATATATATATATATATATATATATATATATATATATATATATATATATATATAGTGCGCATGCATGTTCGCTTTCGCCAACGTGAAGAGAAGTACTATATGCATGCTTGTTTTAAAATATATAATTAAAATATTTACAGATGAGGACGAACATTCCAGTCAGGATGAGTTTCAGCAAATTAGTGACGTTTGTCAGTAAATCGAGCAGTGTCATACGCGAGTTTGACATTTCTTTAATTATACATTGTAAAATTTCAGAACTAGTTCATGGGAAAAGGGGCGTTTACATTTGCCGGTCCAAATTGTTTGCTATAGCTAGATCTCAATCCATGGGTGCACTCCTATTCTGCAACGCCTCTGCCTTAACTTTCCCCCGTTAAGTTCGTGGCCTTCATTTCACCAGTTGTAATAGCTAGCTTAGCAATATGAGATTAGTATATAGTTTGAGCAAACCTCTATAGAATCTATTTAGTTTTAACTTAATATATGTAGTCTCCGGTATTCATCAGTGGACTGTTATTTATCCAGATGATCTTGATACGCGGAAAAGTACTGGCACTAGTTGTCAATAGAAATCCATTTTATGATTAAAACAACTGAATATCTCCTGTAATATACTTTATTTCGATTCCATATTTTTGTCAGCGCTAGAGTTCTCATAACCAAACATACTTACAAAATTTCAACTAGTTTCATAAAGAATAACGAAAGATATAATTGACTGAATACATCAAAATGGATTTCTATTCGGACAACCCTTTCTGAGCGCTGATTGGCTAAAATACGAACACGAGATCACCTGGATACTGGTGATATGGCGTGCAATTTGTATCATCTTTGACGTGTGTAAATTATGGTACCAATGTTGACTGTTGTATATGCTTATATAGAATTTGGCAAAATTAAAAATAAATATAAATTATTCATTCGCAAAACCTGTTCATGTATAATCTACATGTTGAGATTCACTAAGCATATGATGCTCAATTCATAGTCAGCATGATGAGAACTAGAGCATAATGTTGATTATCAGTCACATCGACTTATAATTAATGTTTTTTCGTTGTTGAAGACAGCAA